GCACACACACAAAACAACAATCTAATCCAAAAGATAAGTAAAACAAAGGAGAAGAAATATATGATCACATCAACTGATTCAGAAAAGGCATTTAGACAAAATCTCACCCCCATTCTTAATAAATACCCAACAAAATAGCAATAGATGGGAAAGTCCTCAAAATAAATAATTAGGGGAATATGGGGGGGGAGACCCAATGGCCAACAGTTCGTTTCAGTGAGAGAGACAGGAAGTATTCCCCTTGTGAATGGCAATTACACAAGGATGCTCTTTATCACCCACTCCTGTTCTATATTATGCTGAAGATATAGCCAAAGCAAGAAAGGGAAATAAAGGCACCCACGTTGACAAAGAAGAAGTAAAACTATCTCTAATTGCAGTTATGAACCTATATACAGAAGATGAAAATTACTGAAAATAATTGGAAGATTCAGCAATGTGGTGGGATACAGGATCAACATAGAACATATTAATCATATTCCTTTACAATGACAAAGAGAACTCTGAAAAGGAAATCAGCAAAATAATGGCATTTATAATAGCCAACCCTCCAAATTAAGTACTTAATATATCCAGGAAAAGAAAAGAGTTACATTAAGAAAATTATAAAGCAGTACCTAAAAAAAACAAGAGATCTACAACAACCATGCTCATGAACGAAGACGTAAACAGTGTGGAAATGTCAATACTACACACATTTTTCTACAGACATAATGCAATTCCGATCCAGAATCCAACATCATTTTCTAAAGAGATGGAAAAACGTATCACTAACTTCATATTAAAAGGAAAGAGCCTTGGTTAACCAAAGCACTTGTAAAGGAGAAGAACAACGCAAGAGATCTCTCACCTCCGGATTTTAAATCCTACTACACACACAGTTATCAAAAACAGCCTGATACTAGTTCAATGACAAACATATAGGCCAATGTGACAGAACTGAAAACTCAGGTGCAAATCCATCCACCTATGGACAGTCCAACTTTGGCAAGGGCCGAAACTCGTTCAATGGGAAGAGATCATCTACGTCCCATGTAAGTGTTCACTGCCATGGAGTCCATGCTGACTCACAGTGACCAATAGGCCAGGGTAGAACTGCCCCTGTGGGTTTCTGAGGCTGTCACTCTTTATGGGAGCAAACAGCCTTGTCTTTCTTCTGCAAAGCAGCTGGGGGTTGTGAGTGACCCACACATACCACTACATCATCTGGAAAAAACTGGATACCAATTTGCAGAAAAATGAAACAGAATGCTTATCTCACACCGTACACAAAAATGAACTCAAGATGGAACCAAATGGAAACACAAACCATAAAGGCTGTCAATTTGAAAAATAGGACAAACTTAGGGGACACTAATATGGGATAAGTATACCATCAAACCTAGTAGCAGAAGGGACAGTAGTGGGATACACCTGTATCCACAGTAGAAGGGAACCTAGATGACCGAAACCTCCTAAAACCCAGACACCAGTTTCATAGAACAGAGTTCTTGCACTGAGGGAGGACTTGAGTGGAGGCCCAATGTCCATCCGCTACCTTACTACTAAACCTATAAATATAGGCACATAGATGTATTTCCACATCCTCATATATATTTATATATGTACATGCCTTTATTTAGACCTCTATGAATGCCCTTTGCCTCCTAGCTTGTTCTTCTATTTCCTTTTACTTTCCTCTTGTCCCACTATCATGTTCAGCCTTCATTTGGGTTTCAGTAATTCCT